CGGTTAGTCTAATTCCTGTCCTGCAATCGGCGTAGACCGCGCTCACAGATGGCATGGCATACCTTCACCAAAAGGTTGACCAAAAGGTGAGAGATGGGTCACATTTCCCTTTCCGAAAGCTCGGTCGTGATGCAAAGTTCCACCTGACTTGCAGTTTACAAGAAGCCTAACGTGGCCGTTGCTGTCCTTCAAGATGCGAAACATAGACTCATGATGCAAACTATAGGGCGTGTGGCGAGGCGTGAATGCTGCCTAGGCGGCTTCTCCACCAATGCCACTCCAGGACCGCGACGGTCGACGGGAAAGGCTGTCCTGGCTAAGCTTCAATCCATTCCTCTTAGCACGTCCTATCGTTAGCTGGGATCATGACTACATTACTTCCACATCCCCTATGACAACGGTGGGCGTCACGGCCTTCACTTTAATGTTAGATCTACTGCCTCCTTTTGAATATCCCAGAAAAGGTATTTACCATTCTGACAGAGCGGATCCACGGAGTGCTCTATTGACCTACTGAAACGGACTTGTACAAGTTTTGCGACTGCGCCATGAAGGTTGCGGCCAAACTACTGCCAACATCGGTAGCCGCCAGCATGTGAGGAGTAAATTGAATTTTTTTTCAGGAATTATAGAGGAGAACAGCGTGAAAGCGATTTTTCGTCGTGTGGCGGCTTAAACTGGTCCCTTGATCATTGCTTAACATAGAAGCAGCTTTTAGAAATGTTCCATTTTGTCTTGCTCATTATCCCGCCATTGTTTGTTTTTTGTGCGATTTACGAGATGTTCTGCGAATTCAAAAATTGCGCTGCACTTGTTCAATGGGAAACTGTCGGGTACAATTTTATAGGAACAAGAGAGAATTTCAAGGAATTCCCATTTGACGACACACTTCCATTCCAAAGCAATGAGTGGGCTTTCGAAGTTTGTCTTTGGCTTAGTCGTAGAGCGCGGCGGTGCCGCAGTTACCCACAAAAACGACCAAGCCGTATGTAAAGTAGCACAGCTTGCCAATTCTCCTTTTTTCGGAAGACGATACAGCGCGTAGCCAAATCCGGTGAAGTGTCAGTGACTTTTGAGTGCGACTTCGGCCAGGAACGAATCGTGGCCTACGTGCAAGTCTCTGTTTTTATCCTCCTCGAGGAGTCCGATACCATATGATGGATGATGAGTGGATCGAAGCCTGGTCAGCCTGTGCGAGTAATCCAGATTCTTGACTTCCTAACTGTAGCCTCCGGTAAGCCACTACATTACTCGTCCCTGATGAATCTATAGTGGTCCTTTCACAAGAATGCTGAGTTATGGGCAAAAGTCGGACCACGGACGGGATCCCGTCCGTGGTCCGACTTTTGCCCATAACTCAGCATTCTTGTGATAGCTTTCGAATCGCGTACTGCGGCGTTAAACAGCAGTTAACAAACAATATCAGCTTGAAACTGTTAAAGCCTTTTCGAGATTACCAATAGTGGTAAAAAGGTGAATAATTGTAAGAAATAATAGAATGTAGAAAATAGGTCTGACCCCAAAAAACTGAAGCCAACTGAACTTTCTGAAGTAAATATTGGACTCTTCTTTCTACATCTCCACTTTTCCAACTTGGACTTTTAATGAGGTTCGTTCATCTGTTGTAGCGCCAGACCCAGTACAGAACATCACGCTCGTTGGATCCAAAAAGCCCATTCGGCGCAGTTTGTCGACGGGGGCATTTTGCTTTCCATAGATGTGTCGACCCATCTAGGCAGCCGTTTCTCGAGTTGACACGTTTTAGGATAGTGGCTAGACGATCTTAGTTCAGCTTCACAAGAGTTCACAGGTTTTACCAGAGTGAAGATTTGTAAAGCGGAACTAGGAAGAGCATGATTAATACAAACAAAGCCCCCCGTCGACATACAGCGCCAGCCCATCCACCAGCTCCACAATGTGGAATTCTTGTTTAAGAGCCTACTGTCTGGGGACAAACGTCCACGAAAATTTGACTTGCATTCCGCGAGGTAGGGTCGAAATATTGTGCATGCTGAGCATACGTTTGTTAATTCCAAATTGATGCAATACTTACTAGTCAATGAGAAACACAATATCCTTCGGTGCTGACTCGGTATTCACAAACCATGGTCGAAATTTCGGATCGAACAAGTCGATAGTGATCGGTGCAGGCTCAACTCTCCAGTAGCGCCCTGGAAAATTCATGATGCTTCAGCTCTCTCATTTTGGATATTTTCGCGACTATTCATGAGTACTGATAAGGACTCACTCGGATACATTCTTGTCAAACCGCTATATGTACCAATGAACTGATGTCGCATTGTCTCATCGGCCCTAAAGTTCTTGAAAAGTGGTCTTAGAAAAGTGGTCGTGATGGGTGAAACGGTGGTATAGGTACAACCCCTCCCCCGCTACCTAAATGAGTTTCCAGGTACGGTTCCCCCTTCCCGGCACGTACCTACCAATTTCCCATATTTTCCAGTTTTTCACTCAAAGATTTTTCGTCGAGCGAGAGGGGGGGCAGGGGCATGTACTACACATGAAATACGAAAAATCACGAAAAGTCAACAACAGGGAAGATTTTTTTCTCAAACGACAAATTTCTCTCAAAGGCACAAACGACCCCCCTCCCCTCCCTCTCCCAACAACGACCAAATACGACCCCTCCCCTCTCCCCAGCGGAAAAGTACGACCCCCTATTTGTTTCACACAACGATGCTGTACCCTGTTGGTGCCTCCTACGTAGCTGTCATCCACTCACCTCTTATTCTCGGCCATGACCTTTTCGACACTTTCTGCACCGGTCCAGCTGAAGTCACGGATCACAGTGGCATCTAAAATTGATTCACTTATGGGTGAGGTTTCAGATCAACTTATGTTAAGGTGATGATAAGGTGATGACTAGAAACAGTAAAAATAATAATTTCAGCTGACAAGCTCGAAGCTCCAGCCGTTGATACTCAGCTATCGGGATTTGGCGCGACTTGCTTTCATTTAGGGTTATGGTGACAAACTGATATATATGTATTAGGTTGTTCGGAAAGAAATGCGCGTTGAATTTGTCCATTTATTTCTCTCCTACTATAGAAGATTTTTCAAAACAGTTTTGTCTATTAGAAAGAGATTTTTATTGTGCATCTTTTGATATATTTTTGTCTATGTCTACTTTGTTTTTTTGAAGAAAAAAAGTTACTTCTTCTCTCTTCTTACTGCGTCGTCAAGGTGTCGAAACGACGTCGACAAAACTCCTCCACGACAACGCTCGTCCACATGTCGCGAAAATCACTTTGGAAAAAATTGAGGAATTGGGCTGGGAAGTCCTGCCTCATCCGCCATACAGCCCAGACCTGGCACCATCCGATTACCATCTGTTCCGGTCGATGCAGCACTCCCTGGCCGAGAGAAAGTTCACAAACCGCGAAGAAGTCCAACTCTGGGTGTCCAACTACTTTGAGTCGCAGCCGGCCGAGTTCTTCGAAAGAGGAATCCATTCTTCTGGCGCACAAGTCCATTGATAGTAATGGAGATTATCTTTTGAATTGATCTTGTTTAATTTCGTTTTTATAATAAAAAAATTTTTAAACTCAAACGCGCATTTCTTTCCGAACAACCTAATAGTTTATACAATGACTTGCCGAGGTCAGCTGACGCAAACGTGAGCGTTTTACCTTCCCGATCGGATTTGTTACCGATTACATTTGAGGCTGCATCCGAGAGCCAAGAATGGACAGCACTGTGGAGGGCCTCTGCCTCTTATTTGCAATCCAGAACAATATTTTAATGTCTTAATGTCTTCGATGGCAATCATAAGGTAACGAAACGGATCATCACCTCCCTGTGTAAGGAGAGGTTACTTTCTGGTTCGTTAGTGACGGTTTACTCTGCTTTTCTCTCTCGGACAAGCCAATTAGCACATACTCCTCTGTTTTGCAATCGAGCCACTCACGAGCTTTTCGTCTGCTTCTCTCAAAAGCTGAATCCAAACGCTCGCTCGAGCTTCGAAAGGTAAGCCGTTTGAACCCCCTCCAAAACTCGTATTAGGGAGTTCCGCCATTTCGTCGTCTCACGGTCAGAAGGAATGATCCATGAATAAGAAAGGCCTATTCGTCGAAGTGACTCCCTCCAATATTACCAGCTGAGAACGAGCTTTCAAACGAAGAAGAATGGAACAGTTGGCTTCGGCCATCCCGTAAATGACATGACGCTGCATTCTGGGTTGGGCTTTGGGCCAGTTTTCAGAATCATGGAGATATTCGGCGTCACATACATGTGACGGGCAGATCGACGTACAGTCCTCATCATTACGGACTGTCGGGGCGTGTCAGTGCGGCTGCGTTTGGCGCGGTGCCAAAGTCTTTCTGCACCAGTTGTTGAAGCGGGCAAGTGA